GTCATCCCTTTGCCTCCATCTGGGGGAACCAAACGCAGCCCATAGGGTCTAAGAGCCGCTGGCCAGACCTCCAGAGAGCATTTCAGGGGCTGCGTCTCCAGGGAAAGAAGGGCTGGGGGAGGCCTGTGGCCAGGTGAGGCCTGTGGCCAGGTGTGCGGCCCTCAGCACCTGGAGCAAGACGGACAGCTTGTGTGAGCGTGGCTGGGCCGCCCTGGACAAGGAGAGCCTCGCCTCACTCCCAGCTGTCCCTGGCCAAGACGGCAGTGAGCAGCGCAGGCCCGCGGCGGCGGCGGCAGGTTCAGGCACTCCCTCCCCGGCGCTGCTCCCAGTGACGGCCCCTGACGGCCCAGCCTGCGGCTCCGCGGCCCGGTGGAGCTGGGGGCAGCCTGGCAGAATCCCCCTCCTCTGCTCCCAGGGCCGTTTTCTCCTGTCCCCAGAGTGTGTCTGACAGAGGCCATGAGCTGTCCAAACACAGCCCCTGCCTGGAGGGGGCGTGAGGCCAGCGCTGCTCAGTCTGGGATCATGAGAGATCTGCCCCTTCCCACGAACCCCAGCCCCGGCCTCTGCACCTCACTTCCCTTCCAGAGCCCCAGGGCCCCCTTTGCCCTCCAAAGGGGAAGAAGGGATGTCCAGAAGCTACGCAGCTCTCAGGCCATCGCCCTGACCACATCCCTGTCGAGGGGGCGTGAGGCCAGCGCTGCTCAGTCTGGGATCATGAGAGATCTGCCCCTTCCCACGACCCCCAGCCCCGGCCTCTGCACCTCACTTCCCTTCCAGAGCCCCAGGGCCCCCTTTGCCCTCCAAAGGGGAAGGAGGGATGTCCAGAAGCTACGCAGCTCTCAGGCCATCGCCCTGACCACATCCCTGTCCCACAGCTCTGCTGCCCTAGCTCCCACTCGTCCCAGGCACCCATGTGCCCGCAGCCTGCCCCTGTCCTCTGGCCTCACCCAGCACCTCTCTCCCTGTGGGGCTGAGCTTAGGTCCAGGAGGGCAGCAGGTCTCTGGGTCCCTTCCTGCCCTGTGGAGCCCTGCATGGTGGCCTTCCACTATGCAGCCCACAGCAAGGACAGGGCCCGCCCCTCTTCAAGGCCTCAAACCCATAGAGCATTTCTCCTGAATCTCCTCTCACGGGCCACACTGAGCAGCACAGCAGACGGGCCCCCTTCAGCAGTGATGTGTGAACTAATGAGGGGTCGGTCTGTGCTCAGCATCTGGAGCCAGTGCCCCCCAGGCTACAGCCCTGCCTGCTCCAAAGGTCCAGTGAGTGGAGCCCTGAAAGATCTGGGGTTTCCCACTGCCCCTGCTTCCACTGGGCAAGCCAGGCAGGACTGCCCAGAGCCCCCACACCAAGGGCAGGGCCGTCCCCCTCCCAGAGTGGTGCAGCACAGGCTGAGGAGGGCACCTGATACCCTCCACGTGGGCTCTCCAGCGGCCAGCTTGGGGGAGGGGTGGGGAGAGGTGGGCAGGGCAGCTGGACAGAGAGCAGGCCCCATGCCCACGCCTGCCAGAGCGTCCCCTCTGGAGAGGCAGTGGGGACCAGATCATCAGGGCTTTCCTCCCCTGGAGCCCCATTCCTGGACAGGCACCCACCAAGCTCCTTGTCCTCCTGTGGTGTGACAGTGCAGGGCAGTGGTCCCCACAGTTCCAGGAGGGCAGGGCAGCCCAGGGTCACTGTGGGCCACTGTGCTGCAGGGGGGTGAGGAGTGGCCGCTTGAGGGGTCTACCCAGTGCTGAGCTCCACGAGATGGGGGCTCCTTTAGGAAGAGACATTGGGCAAGTGAGGGTTGACGCAGGAGTGGGAGAGGCCAGGCCAGGGTGCTGCATGTGAACGCCATGGCATAGGGGGTCCCGGGAAGGAGCTCGCAGCTACTGGAGACCCGGGGCTGGGCTGTGGGAGCAAGGCCACCTCCACCATCCACGTGCACTTTTGGCTCACGGGGAAGGGCTGGTTGTGTCCCAGCTGTTGTGGGACCTTGGAAGGTTTTGGTGGGCAGAAGAATGTAGTATAATCTCATTTATAACCACGAACAGAAAAGTGGGTTCAGGATGCGCAACCAGGAGACCTGGGGTGCAATTAGTCCCACTTGAGAAGTGTTGAACCCAATGTGTGAGGCCCCTGTAGAAGCAGGAAAGTGAGGCCATCAGCGTGGAGGGAGCAGAGACAGGTCTGGTTGGACCAGCTAAGGCCACCGAGAGCCAGGATAGGCCTTTGTTCCCTGTGCCCAAGGCCACAGCTTGGACCTGAGTCCTGAGCTGCCATCAGGGGAAGGCCGTCCTCAGCCCCAAGGCAGGCTCTGGAGAGCCAGGGCATGACCCAGCCCTCCTCAAATCCCTCAGAAGCCCAGGCAGCACTGGCTCAGGGTCACCCAGGTCACCAGGGGCAGCCACTGTTCTTGGGGCTCCCGACTCCACTCCCCGGAGGCCAGGCAGCTTGGGGAACTGGCCACTAGAGGCCGGCTCAGGTGCAGAAGGAGAGACCCACCGAGCGGCCAGAAAGCTGGGGACCAGCACTGCCCCGTGTGCTCAGGGAGCCCTTGGCACCCCCATCTGAGGCAGAGACTGGGCCCCACCTCCACCTCAGATGTGACCAGCTCTCCTCGAGACTCTTCTAGGTTCAAACATCAAAAGTACAGCCACCACAGAGACAGAGAGTGTCTGGCTGCAGCTGCAGTGTCCCCGCCCACCCTCCAGCCCAGCCCAGGTGCACCTCAGACCCCTGGAGGAGGTAAACCTGGGAGGGGCGGGGAGGCTTCAGTCCCACTCCCTCGGTTAATAGCTGCGAGGCTTTAGAGGTCTCACAGAACTATCCAGAAGCTGTGTGTTGGGCCAGAGCCAGAGCAGGCCGAGCAGCATGCAGTATGCGGGTGTGCAGGGCCCCAGGAGGCAGCGTCCCACGCACTGTGCTCGGCAACTTGTGTGTCCAAATGATTTCCCTAAGGCCTAATCAGAGCTCAGTACAGAAGTCCCGGGCTGGGCTTGGCAGAACAGGCCAGGCGAGAAGAAGGGGTGGCAAGCGGTGGGGGACACCAGATCTGGGGTCACAGCAAGCTAAGCCTGAGCACACAGCTTCGTGCCTCCAGCTGGGACCAGCCAGGCTGGGGCTGCCCTCCTGTCCTGGAGTCCTGGGATTAGCCAGATGCCTGCCACCATCCCTCAGGGACAGAAACTGGAGGCCACAAAGCAGGATATTCTGTCCTTCCTGGTCTTGTCTTTCCCTCCAGTGCTAGGCAGCCAGAAGGGCTTGGAGGCCCTGCCCCAGGCTGGACAAGGTGGGCCTGCTCTGGGGGAGGTGCAAGCCGGCCCTGCCTCCCCCAGGGCCTGTCACAGCTCCCCTCTGAGTCAGGACCCACCCCGCTCCGGGGGCTGGCAGGACTGGTGGCCTGCTTACTCTGCAGCCACCAGCTGTCCTCAGCCTGTCACCTCCCTGGCTCTCACCCCTGCAGGAGGCCCTGCCTCTCCTAAGCGGGCAGCGAGAGGGTCCTCCATCTCCCACCCTGCAGCGCCAGCGCGGGCCTCCCACGCAGAGTCTTGGGGCTGGGCTGGCCCTTCTCCCTAGAGCACACTTTTTCCAGAAATCCCCCAGGCGTCTTCTCGTGAGGAGTATCCTGGGAGGGAGGACCAGTCCCTTGTCAGGGGGAGGGGCATGAAGGCCCCTGAGTTTGGGGAGACCCTCTAGGGTCATGGTAGTGACATCAGGACCTGGTCAGAGATGACCCCACTTTCCACCCTGCCCCTCCCCACTGGCTGCTGCCTGCCAGAGGAAAATACGTGAGGGGAGGATGGGAAGCAGGGAGAAGCCCAGCAGGCTCCTGGGAGGAAGGGAGCAGGGGGCCAGACCCTGTGCAACCCCAACAAGGCTGTGGGGAAAGGAGGGTGGGTTCCAGGGCCTCAAGAGGCCCCCGTGAGATGAGCAAGGCCAAGCAAGCCCAAGATGGAGAGAGGGGCCCCAGGCGCCGTCCCACCCGGTCCCCAGCTCCCAGCAGGAGGTCCCCCGCCCAGGCACCCACCCACGCCTGCCTCATGCTGAGCCCTTCAAGCCTTGCCAGCCATGTCTGCAGCAGGCCATGGCGTGGAGGGCTTGGTGGACACCGGACAGACAGTGCGTGTCTCACACGTGTGAGAGGACCGAGCAGAGGCTGGCGGTGCTGGTCAGGACGCCCCAAGCCATGCCTGTTCTGCTTTAGAGTCTAAAGGCCCCACTGCAGGCCAGGAGCCCCCACCTGCTGGGCCACCTTCCAGGGAGGGAGAGCGGGTCCATAGGTTTTTAATAACGTTTTTGTTTTACAAAAGAAATCCATTTTTAATGCAGAAAACTTGGAAAATAGAGAAAAGCTGGGAGGACAGAGATCACCCACAAAGCCCTGGTAAAAGACATCCATGGCTGACACTTCAGAAAGGCTGCCCTGGCATCTCGGCCCGTGCCTGTGAATGTTGTGGCTCCTGGGTCCTTGGCCTGTGCCCGGCCACGTGTGTTGGGGCTGCTGGGTGGCCAGATGTGCCCAGCGAGCACAGCCTCTCCTCAGGCCCTCACCAGCCACTGCTGCAGCAGGCAGGGCATGCGCTTGGAGGGTGCTGACAGCTGGGGACCTGCCTGGGAGGTGGGGCTGTGAGTCAACCATTAACCCCAGTGCCCCCATCCCCTCGTGGGACCCATTACGAAATGGTCACCACAGGACCATTTTCAGAGCCAGATGTCCCAGTGCCTGCTGGAGGGGCAGGCCCTGGCCCTGCAGAGCATCCAGCCAGCTCGTGTCCACACAGACCTCCTGTGCCCCCACCCCAGTCCAGGAGTCTGAGGCACAGCTGCTGTCACTTGCCAGTCTCTCAGGAGGACCTTCTGGCCTGCACGGGCTCCCACTAAGAGGAGGGGGAGGGACCCTGCTCCTGCTGGCAAGAGAAGCAAACCAGTGCTCCTAGAGAACGCGGCACCCTGAGCCGCAGCCCCCCGCCCCTCTCACATCCTAACCTATGTCCCTTCCTTCCTCCTCTTCACCCGTCAGAGCTCCCAGCACCGGCAGCCGACAGGAGGGCCCCCGCCGAGACACAGGCAGCCTTTGCTGTCGAAGGGATGAAGATGCCACCCCAGTCAAAGGCCAAACCTGCCACACCCTCCAGGTCTCATCTTGCAAGATCTAAAAGCTGCCCGCAGCCCCCGAAGATCCGTAACTACAACCTAAAGGACTGACTTCCTTGGCAGCCTCCTACACGGCGGACCCCACGCAGGCTCCCCATGGGTGCTCGGGCCTGTGCCTAGCGACGCCAGGCGTGTGTGCGCGCCCACGGCCACAGGGTGGGGCGGTGAACTGTAGAGCAGGCTCCCCCGCTGCCCAGATGGCCTCGCAACTGAAGGCCTCATGACCAAAGGCCTCGCTGACCAACTGCAGAGCCTATTAAAACCCAGGTGCTTGGCCAGCAGAGTTGTTTATCTGTCCTACTTGGGAAATGTGGTATCAGTGCCTGTGCCAGAGCCTGGCCCTGCCTCTGCCTCTTGCCAGTGACACCATCTACAGCCACCTGCAGGTTGTCATTGTCATGAGAAGTGTGGCCTCTCCCGGAACCAGGGGTGGATGGGTGGAGAACAGGATGCCATTTGTGGGGTCCTCCCAGGAGTCAGAACCATGGATCCAAATGAGCCTGGCCAAGGTGACCCCGAAGGCCAGGCCCTTGTGGCCAGATTGGGCCTTCTCTTCTCACATGTTGGGTTTTTCATGTCGAGGTGCTGCCAGGGCAGAGAAGGCCAACCCAAGACAGGGGGCACCTTCCACATCTGTCCCAAGGGTGGAAAGCACGTGGGTAAACCAACACCTGCCCACTCCCACTGCCACAGGAGCACGCCATGTTCTGCCACCAGAAGGCCCTTCACCAGAATTGTCCCGGCTGGTGCAGATGCACTCCACAGCTCACATGACGGTCACGACTACATCATGTCTTAGGGGACCATGTCCCACCCCTTCTCCAGGGCCCTCAGCCTTTTCTTCCCTGGCCTCTGTGCCTGGTCATGCTCTGCCCACAGCAGAGCCCAGGAGCGGAGGTGGCCTGTGCCCAGCTTAGAGAGGCCGGTGGCGCGCCTGCCCTCAGGCGGCCTTTCCACCTCTGAACCAGGCAGACAGCTTCTCTGAGAGGATGACGGGGAAGAAGGCTAATTCCAGCCCTAACCTGTGTGACCTTGGCAAATCCTGACCTTTGCAGCTTCAGTTTGCACCCATGTAGAGTACGGACAGTGACATCTGCCTGCCTGGTTCATAGGTGTGAGGGCCCAACAAACGTCCCAAGGGGAGGCCACACACAGCATCAGGGGCCACTGCAGGTCCATGGTGCGAGACTGGGAGCTCCCGGCCCAGGCCGCAGGGCTTTGCAGCTGGCTGTCGCGCTACTCTATGCACTTTGGCTCCACTCACTTGTTGCACGTGAGTACTCTGGGGCAGGGCCACCTGCACGCCTCCCATGGGCCGGATGCAGCTCTGCCAAGGGGGGTAGTCTAGGTGCTGAGTTTCCAGCACATGCCCCATGCAAGTGAGGTGGGTCCCCACGACTTCCTTTAGCTGAAAGAGTGAGTAGAGATGGCTGTCGCCGTCTGTGGACGCGTTTCAGGGCCTGTGGGCGAGACTCCTGGGCTAGATTCAGCCTCCCACCCTGAGACCATATCCCCGTCACCAGAGGCCCTGACAATCTGCAGAGAGCAGAGCCCAGCAGCACTGCTCGCGAGAGGGAGCTTGGCATATTGCACACAGCATGGTCCCACCGCTGCTGGCTGGCCTCGCCCTGAAATCACAGGAGAAAGAAACCCCCGGGAAGGTGGGCAGGTTAAGTCCCTCGAGTGGGGACAGCAGTTCAGGTGTCTGGCCCGCTCTCCCCTTACCCTTCCCCAACCCTGGTTTCCATGCGGAGGGAGTTACAGGCCCAGTGCTGGAAGCGAGGGGAAGACTGGAGTAGCCTGGTGCGGGCCAGGGGTGGGAGAACTGCCAGGAGGCGCAAAGTGCCTGATGGCGGTGCCCAGGAATCGCAGTCCTGCGGTGCCTTTCCGTGCTGTCCTCCAGGAGACCCTGATAGGTGCCACACTCCAGACAGTCCACTGAGCCCCTGAAAGGAGGATGGGGTCAGAGGGCTGCCTTGGGGCACCTGCGTGCAGCCCAGCGCTTGAACACGGTCTCGGGGCCCCAGTGGTCTCGGCTTCCCTTCTGCGGCCCAGGCTCTCTGAGACCCCAGAGCAGGACATCTGCTGCCCCACAGGTGCTGTCTCCTAGAGACTCTGGCCCTGCAGGCAGGAGGCCGCCAGGGACAGGAGGGCGGCCTTCATGGCCTCTGGGGCGACCCCAGGACTGGCCTGGCTGTTTCTTCTGGGCCTGGCAGTCCGGGCTTTCTCTGCGAGGTCGGTAACCATCCGAGCAGAACGGTTACCAGGAGGCAGGGAGCGGGCCGAGGCCGCGTGCCGGGGGTGCGCGCGGAGACTTCGCGGCGAAGGGCTCCTGTATCGGAGTCGCACCGGGTGGG